TTGTAGTATTATTTGCTGAATATCTTGCTTTTGGTGAAACATATACTAATGTTTATCTTGAGCAGACATTATCAGATTTATTTATGTAAATTTTGGAAATACTTTATTATTTCATATTTTGTGGCTCAAGTGACATTGAGGGTTGAATATATAAATTGGAGCCACATTGAAATTATATATTTTGCATGTAACAATCTGATAGCTGAATAAATATTGTGTCTGCTAACTGGTTATCATCTATTTGCCTGTCTAGACACAAATAATTTAGTGTGAATTTACAAAACAATTTGAATTAGAGTCTTTTGAATTTTAATCAATTCTTTTGGTATATTTTGAGTGTACATAATTTATTCACTGTATAGTTATAAGATTGCATGAACAGTCAAACTTTCTTTATCTCAAAAGTAATTATCTGCATTATTATCTTGTTATCTGATGAACTGACCCAACTGGATGGATTCCCCATTGCCATCACATGAACTCAAGGGTATGATTAATGGGGTGGCGCCCTTTTAAAACCAACTCAACAGATAAGCATAGAATTTTGGGTAGCTTTAATATTCCTCAAGGCAAACTTTGGCGAATTAAGATTCAGACCCCGCCCTACTCCACTGACTTGGCCGGAGCACATGGCAGAACGACTTTATTACTGTAAAACGAAAAGAGATATTACAACCAAATTTGGCATCTCATTATTGGTAGGCCTAATAGTAAACTACTTTTCTGTGTACCAGGTGATTAAATGTCACCAATGGGGGGCCATAGGAAGTAAATTGAAAATCTAACAGTTATTATTTACTTATGAAAATAAACTAATACGCTTTTTTGATAAACGAAAAACAATTGTTTTGAAATCAAAAAATTTGTGCTTTTATAGGAAGTTGTTATGATAACTATAACATAACCTACCGTAAATTTACAATATTTTCATATATTGCATACTTCGTTAGAAATTGGGAAGGTAAATCCCAAGAAGTGAGTTTGACCAGCCAGCCATTTAGTCCAGACGGCAGGTAGAAAAAGAGGCGTTGGATGGAAAAAGGTCGGAAGTTAATGAAACTTGGGGATGTTGTTTAGGGATGATAAATCAACATTTTCCCAAGTTTTGGACCTCGAACTGCATCAAATTCTAAGAAGAGTTCTTTTTTTCTGAACGGTTCTCTCTTACGGGTTTTTTTAAATCTCAGCAGATTTGTCATTTCAAAAAGTTATATATATATATATATATATATATATATATATATAACAGTCAATTTCATTAAATGCTACAATGAAAAACGATTTAAATTACGCTTAAAAAATTATAAAAAACTGAAAAGAAATGAGTAATGTGGTTTTGAACAGGCATAAATAGTATGAACGTGTTTGGTTGTTATCGTGTGTTGTGTTACATTTCATAGAGTTTATTCTTCGGATTACTAAGGTATATTTTTAATGTTCTGAAATTGAGAACGTAAAAGACAAAGAAAACCTTTCTAAGGTTCGTTTGGAGTGCAGTAACATTTTCAACTCTTTTGCCATTACAAAGTATTGCCTCGCATTTCTGTCTGGGATGTTTCTTTGATGACTTCAGAGTTGCTTTAACTCAAAATAACAATCATTTCCGGGATTTACGTGTTATGTATTAATAAAGGTTTCTATAATTTTCAATGTATCAAAATATAAGTAAACCAATAAATATAATAATCGTTAATTAACTTAGCAGATAATAGTGAAGTTGATTGATTGTCCTGCCTTGCTGTCTGAAGTAGACATTCGTGTTCCATCTGGTACAAGATCCCAGGATCTATTCGGAAGGAGGCACTATGCACGTGGATACCAGTACCATGGACCCCTTGCAAGGATGCTTCGAAATGGGAATGTCTTCTGTGCCACTTTCGACATCTTCACAGACAGCCAAAAGACAATCCGGAAGAGGGTACTGGCTGACTTCCACCGCTCATCATAGTACCACCCAAAATCACGGTTATTATATTTGTTTCAAACCAATGAATGTTTTCTCTCTTTTTACAAATCTTGTTTTCTTTGTTATTGTTGAAATTATATTTACTGTTATTGTTGAAATTCATATATTTATTGTTATTGTTAAAACTCATATATTTATTGTTATTGTTGAAACTCATATATTTATTGTTTGTTGTTCATTTATATTTTCACTTACTATTCTTGTTTTTTGTTCTTGTTCATTGGTTGTAGTTTAAAGTTTTGCTTTGTGTACGTCCATTTTGATACTGCTGAAATTGTATTATTTACTAAACTTACTGCATGTCATTTTGTCAAAAATACTTTTGTATGTATATGTTTAAGTTAGATTAAGTCATCTTATACAACATATTATTGTAAATTGGTTCTTGACCGTTGGAAGGTAAAATAAATAAATAAATAAATAAACAAAGCTGAAAAACGATAATACTGACAATAATATTGCAAAGTTACAAATCTTAAATTTACAAATTAATTGTGCGATACATGTTTATTGTTTATTGAACATGTTTATTTCCGACAACATACATATGATAAAAAATACTAATTAGATCCAGAAATAAACATTATACAATTTATTATTTTGTCTAGGAACATTGATACCCGTGTTAAATCATTATATTGAGAAGCATATCATAGATAGCTTATCGGTAAATAAACATTATTTGATATCATAACTTAAATAAGTATTTTATTTTCTTTGTTCAGTAACTTAATTATCGGTTACTCAATAAAGCAAAGGCTGAAAAATTTGAAATATGCTCTTACCAACACAGTCATTAGAATGTCATTAAAAGATTGTTATTGCACATCGGGAATTTAAAATATTTGTAAACTAAAGATATCTTGTAGATAAAAATCCAATAACCTTTACACAGCTAGAGACGAAAAGAGTGTTTATTACGTGTGTGGAGGAGTAGTGAGTGATATGCCATATTAAGAACAACAAAACGTTAAGATCACTTTAATCATAAGTATTACTGGTATAGGAAAAAAGGGTCTAATTTTAACCCTGCCTATTGTATCATTCTACAGAGTTATGTTTCCTTGTTATTCGTTTCATAATAAGATGTTTATTGAGCTACTAGCATTCATTTAATACTTCACTTTCAAACAATTCAATTTGCCAAATAAACTTGATCATAATAAAAATTAGCTTTCAAGGTTTTGATTAACTTAATAAATAAAAATTATATACACTTAATAGAATTAAGGTTTTCTCTGTTACATCTTTTGTCAAACCGTCCTAATGGGCCAATTTTTAGGATTAAGGTGACTTTTGAAAGCTTATGGTCTAACGGAGAGAGGAATGGTAAATAAAAAGTCAATAACCCTAGCATTTTATTTATTTCTACAGTTCAATTTAAAGATTTAGTAATGGTGAACAACTTTTTTTAATAAAAAGTTTAAATTTGAATAGCATTTTGACAGTAATCGTTTCGTTGAATGTTTAACCTCAGTCAGAATATAAAAAAAAATAGCAGACCAGTTCATGAAAATGGATTTTAAATATTTTTTGAATATTTTAATGTGGATGAGATGAGTAAATCACTTTTTTCTGTAGATTTGTAGCATATATAAACATATTTTGAAGTAAATTTATTTTAAATCTACAAAGTTATGCAGGATGAAAATTTTATTTATAAAAAATAAGAAGTAAAGTTAAATTGACTCTAATCATTAAGTTGACAAAGAGTACAGAACTGAAATAAACAAATTTAATTTATTTAAAATTAGTAGCTTTTTAACCTATAAACAATCTTATAGTAAACTAAATAATATTTTAAAAATAAAATGGTGTTGCATTGTTATATTTATCTTGGAAACCAATTTTGAAGGCAATTAAAATGCGAAATTTGCGAATAGGTCCCCTACGTATACTTTAATTGAAAAAGCTGGCCAGCTGGTCTTTGTCTTAGCAAAGTAATTTACAGCTTTTTATGTTTAATGGCGTTAGTCATACCTGAATACCTGAATACCTGCTGCGACGTCGTTGACCAGAATTTCTGGATAGACTGTGTCATAAACTAAAAATAATATTTACACTATTTACAATACTTTTGGCAAGATGGCGTTGAGCCTATACTCGATGGAACGCATCAAAATACTCGTCAACTGAGTACAGTGGTCGGTCGACTAGCCAGGCTTTAACTTTCTTTTTAAAAGTGGACGGTTCACAAGACTTAAATCTTTGGGGGAGACTGTTGTACATCTTCAGAGCCCTGATGCGGAAAAAGCTTTGCGTTTTGGACAGCCTGCAGTAAGGTATGTGGAGCTGGTCTCTGTTACGAAGGTTGTGGGAGTGGTGGAATTCCCTTGTTGTGAGCTGATCTAAGTTATCCCTCACATAACAGAGGCCAAACAGTACATACTGGCTGAAGATAGTAAGGATTTTTAGGCTTCTGAAGATAGGCCTACAGTGCTCACTGTCACTCTTCGATGCAATAATCCGAACCGCCTTCTTTTGAAGGAGGAGAATATCTTCACACCTTGCAGCGTGTCCCCAAAGCAGGAGTCCATAGGAGAGGTGGGAATGAAACAAGCCGTGATAGACGGTGGTCAGGTATTGCTTCGTCAACAGGGGTTTAAGTCTGCGGAGTAGATGGATGACTCGAGAGAGCTTCGTACAGATACTGTCCACATGGCCACTCCAGCTAATCTTTGTATCTATTACAAATCCCAGCAGCTTCACCTCTGTTAAAATGTCAGCGTTTGTACGACTGAGACTGCACACAATTTCTTGGGTTTTTTCTCGGTTGAGGCTCAATCCGTTTTGTTGGAACCAAGTCTTTGCCAACTCAAAAACTTCTGCGGCCTTTTCCCGGGCCAAAACTGGAGTAGATCCTCTGGCAACAATTGTTGTGTCGTCAGCAAACATTAGGACGCTTCCAATGGCACTAAGGTCATTTATCATGATTAAAAAGAGGACACGGCCCAATACTGAGCCCTGCGGGACACCATGCTCAATTAATCCAGGTGAAGAGTTGGCTCCAGATATCGACAGCACTTGTCTGCGGTCACTGATTTTCTCCCTTTAATGATTGTAGTAATGACTGATACGACCTGAAGGCATCAAATACACTGCCACGGATCCCAAGATTTTCTAATTTTTGTAGTAGCATCTTATGGTTGACGGTGTCAAAGGCTTTGCTGAGATCTGCAAGGACCAAAGCAGCAGAGCCCTTATCCTCAAATGTATCTAGGACCTCCCCTATCAGCTCAGAGACAGCTGAGATAGTCGAGCGACCACGCCTGAACCCATGCTGGGAACTCGCAAGTAGAGAGTTGCGCTCCAAGTAGTCCACTAGTTGCCTCTTCATAATAGTCTCGAACACCTTTGCAATAACTGGAATTACTGAGATGGGCCTATAACTGCTGATAGATGCTGGATCACCCTTCTTAAAGACCGGGACCGTTCTTGACACCTTCAGTGAATTGGGAAAGACTCCGCTCTGTAAACATGCATTAATAGTTTTTGCTAGAGGTATGGCTATTACTTCCGATACATATTTCAAGATGGTGACAGTCATTCCATGCACATCAGGGCTATGGGAGTTTTTAAAGTTGTTAATAATTTTCATAACTTCATCGGGTGTCACATTGCGCCATCTCGTGAACGTACTGACAGTTGGCCTAGACAAGTTAGGAGAGAGCAGAGGCACAGAGTCATCGGTCGGAGAGTCAAAAGATTTTACAATTCTATCAACCTCACCGAGGAGGAAAGCATTAAATTCGTCAGGGCTAGCTGCACATTTCATATCTGGCTTACGTTTCTGGACCTGGTTCACTAGGCCCCAAGCCGCCTTGCATGAATTTTTCGCTGTAATTATTGCAGCCATATTCGCTTCCTTTTTAGCCAGATCTACCTGGACTCTATAGAGCCTCTTGGCCCTGAGATAGAGGGTGTGGAACCTAGTCTTTTCAATTGTGCAAACACACGTCCTGTATCTATCATGGAGTGAAATCATTAATTTCCTCAAGTTTGCCAGTTCATCAGTATACCAGGACTTATCACTGTATCTCGGTTTACTTTTACATGCCAACAGTCTGGTGTTACTAGCTGATACATTTTTTACAGGGAAAACATTATCAAAGATGTACCTAAATATGTCAAAAAAAGAGTCAAACCCCGATTCCGGATCGTTTTTAAGAAGCACATCACTCCAGTCAACTGTTGACAAGGTAGACTTAAATTCAGGTAAGCTTTCAGTTTTAATGATGCGCCTAGTGCGCTTATATTTACTGGTCCATTGTAAGATGTTGGCGTCACTTACCCCAGGCTGAAGAAACACACTAAGCACCACCGGACAATGGTCGGCGATGACAGGGTCCAAGGTCGACACAACATACTCCCATGATTCAAGAGAAGTGGCAACAACATCAAGGCAGTTCAATCCCCGTGTTGGAGTCCTGCTAGGCAAGAACAGGCCATGACTTTTGAGAATATATACAAATTGCCTAAAGCTGCTATCCTCAGTATTAACTCCAACGTTAATATTAAAATCACCGCCCAAAATAATTGGAACATTCAACCTAGCTAGGTAGCTTAGGCATTTATCAAGTGCATCAAAAAAGTTTAATATATTCCCTGATGGTGACCTATAGGCTGAAACCACCAGTATTGACAAGCTAGTGACATACACACAGGAGATTTCCAAGTCTTTCTCAGTACAAAAAATGTCTACCTCTATTGGTTGTGAATTGAGATTTTTATTATTGACGAATATAGCAGTGCCACCATTTTTAAATGTGGATCGATGAAATGCTGAAACTAGGCTTAATTGGCCAATACTACTCTAGAACTCGACTTCAGATTTAGTTAGCCAGTGTTCACTTATGCACAAAATGTCTAAGCATTGATCATCGGCAAAATGGGCTGTCAGGTTAAACTTTGTACGCAAACATTGGACATTAGCAAATGCCATTTGGATGCCGGCTCTACCTTGGGTTACCGGTACTTCTGCTTTTTGCTCAGTAGGCCTACAATTAGGCAGAGAGCCAGTGGGCTGATGTTCAGAGATAGGCTCGGGCTGGCAATTTATTGTTGTTTGTGTAGGCCTAGGCCTAGCATTGCTAGATGACTTAATTAAGTATGTATTTACATTATGTACAGTTGAGAGTTTATCTACTAGGCCTATGTTGTAACACTGGCTAGGGGTCTCCTGAATAAAAAACGTTTCAGTACAGCGTTTTTAGGCCAAGAGGCACTTTGGAAAAGTTCATCCTTACGATCAAAATCTACACCTATCTTAAAGCTAGCATTTGATCCTTTTGTCTCTAGTTTTTCTACAACAGGAGAGATGCCTGCGAATTTTGTAGTCACAAATTGTTTAACTGTCTCTACAGTAGTATCATTGTTTAGCCTACCCAAATAAAACCATGCTTTTTTGTTACCTGATAGAGTTTTATCCTCACATGTTCCAACAATTACAGGGGCAGATTTTTGGTTAGGTTTAGCAAGTTTCCCTTTTACAGGCAATGCACCAGTCTTGGTCCTTTGCGTCTTCTGCTGCCGGTCACTGGCACTTTGGTGTTAAGAAGAATTTGACTTTAACACTTGGTCTGAGTCACGATCTTGCCCGGAGCCACAGCCTTTGCGATCAGACACACTAGTGTTACTAGAAGCAGGGTCTATGCTATGTGAAAGGCCTGGCCTTTTACAGCGGTACTTCCTTCGCTGAATTTTCCATTCGTTGTCATTTGATTCTAGATTGGGGAAGTTTTCCTCGTTTAGCACAATCATTTCTTCGGCCTGGGTATGGTGTGTATCAATGATAGTCGTATTTTGAGACGTTCCAGGACTAGTGAGTAGGCCTAGGCCAGCGTCATCCTTGTAGTTGTTGTCATTATCGGTAATCTCCTCCACATTAGATGACTCTTGAATCTTCTGAATTGAATTAACTGATGTTCTTACTGATATAGTTTTCTAAAATACTGTATTCTCGCACTGAATAGAGAGCCAAGTATTACAATAAAAAAAATACCCTTACGATACTGTTTTACCTATTGATTTATGTACGTAATTTGTCAGGCTATTTTTGACGAGATTTATTTATGTTGTCACACATAATAAATTATATATTACAAAATATCAGCCTTCTTTAAGGACTATTCTATTTACTTATGATGGTTTATCTTCCTTGTGCACGATTAACAATGGAAAGAATTTAATGACGTGTGTATTATTTTGAAATGCAACTGTTTTACCCAATAAGTTCTAAACGTGTTCGTACTGATGTAATAAGGCTCTAACTGTTTATTATTTTGAATAATACAACGGGCATATAGGCCTATGCTATATTAATATATTTAATGCTTCTATTACTGAATTAGAACCTAAAGATAATTTTTAAACTGTTATAATTTGGACAAAATGATTGAGAGAGAAAGCCACCTTAAGTCACTATAGGGATGAAGAGTCTAATTAATCCTTGCTCTGAAATCAATCTCCTGAGACTTTCCATCTTATCTTGCTGAAAATCTTAGGCAATTTCGTAAATTTACTAAATATGTAACATTTACTGGGTATCACTTATATTCGTAAAAGAAATCACAATTTTTACTTTTGACTCCAGCCAGGCTTGGAAAATAATGTATACCTGAATTAAAAAAAACCTACAATACCTACATTTAAGAAATTATTAAATTATAAACAATAAATGTTTTAATTGAAAGTAATTAACTCGATACTGCACGACATTATTAATTATCTCTAGATATTGCACCATCATTAAGCATTAATGTTATTCGAAGTAACATTTGGGTATTTTAGAGCAGTATAAATATGGTCACTTCCTAAGGGACCAACGAATTGTGAAACTGAATATTTTACAACTTCCTCCAAGGACCTTCATTTGTTACTTCATAATATAAAAGATGTAACGTAGCTTAACATATTGAATCATAATAAACAAAATAATCTTTAATCTAAAAAGATTTATTTTCATAAATATTGTTAAATAAAATATTGTATTTTTTGTAGTACATCAGTCATTGAAAACGTTAATAAGATGAAAATAAAGCTACATTTAAAAAAATAGTCACAATTATAGTGTTTTTTTTTATTATTATATAAAAGACTCGCGTTATTTAATTTATACATTATATGTATATTAATTGAAAGTAATTTTAAAGATATGATAAAATGTATACTTATATATCAGGCTATATGTCCATTTATCAATCTTTCCTACTTTATTTATGAATACACAATTTGTAAAAAACAACTTTTCTTCAGTTTTCATCAATTTGAAATTTAATGCTTAGTAGTGAGCTTTTTTCCCCGTTTCTGTTTCTTATAAAATCGCTAGGTCTCAAGGAATTTAAATAAAAACTTAATAAACAACGTATATTTACTATATATACACAATATCACACAACAATAGGGGTTTTGCTCTTTGGTTTGATTTTGTAACGGCGTCGCCGTCGGGCCTTCTGCTAGAGAGCCGGGTCACACGAGTGAGGTCCGTTCTCCACCAATGAGGACAGAGAGTTTGGTGGTTTGTTGTCAACCAATGACGACAGAGAGTTTGGTGGTTTGTTGTCAACCAATGAGGACAGAGAGTTTGGTGGTTTGTTGTCAACCAATGATGACAGAGAGTTTGGAGGCCGTGCCTCTACCAATGAGGATAGAGAGTTTTGAGGACAACTGTCAACCAACGAGGATATAGTGTTTACCGCATTGTTGACCTTGGTCAAAGTTGGGGATTTGTTGTTGGGGATCGCTGAAGGCATCAACGTCTGCGTTGACCTGCTGAACGTTGGCACCTTCTCCTTCTTGACCTTTTTGGCTTCTTCGTTGATTTCTAGAGCTATGCACTCCTTTTCTGCTGTAAAACACAAAATAGTTAATGCCAAAAGATAAGTTACAAGAAAATAGTCAAATAACATCTGTATTGTCTTTAAGCATCGCACTTGGCATTATCGAGGTTATTAATTAGTAATTACACAACCATGCTTAATATCTCTGGAACCAAAACGTTGCTTATTCATTTTAACTACACCATTTGTTTTGTTATTTAGGATGGTTTTTCTCAAATCTATTGATCATAATCAGGTGCTTTACTAAATACATCATGTTTACTTTTTAGTTATAACATTTTAGTTAGTAAGACAATATTTACTTACGCGGTTATTTTGTTAATTAATCAAAAAATCTGAGACCAATTTAAGGTATTTGAATACATCTTAAAAATTGTTCTTTATACGATAGTCCTCGAATGCATATTAGTAAATCATTAATTTTAATTAATTAAAACTACTAGCATTTTAAAGGACAACTAAGTTACTACTTAGTGTTTAAATGGGTTTAAAGTAATTAACTCCAAGTCTTATTAACCTGATGACTTTGGCTTACTGCCAGTAGTAAGTCTTCTAACTCTCAAAAGCTTTAACTGACACATAAAAATGCATTATAACTAGAATGTCGCCTTTGATATTGATCTTGCTACATTCTCTTTAAAAGGATTTTTTTAGAGCTTCGAATATGAGTCCATAATTGGGTTTTCCATAAATAGCTTTTTCTCACACAATACTCTCCTCAACTTTTTAATAACGTTGTAATTGAACTTTCGATATTTTGGTCAGAATAACGAATTTAATGGCTCCAAAAATAATAACCTTATTGATTCAGCCTGTTTCAGGCAAAGGGCGAAAATTGTATAACAAAAAGTAGGCAATTAGTAACATTATGTGATTATTCTTAGGTAGCAATACAGATTTTGGAAAACATATAAGCCTTGTAATTTAAAATGGAATTTTATAGTAAAACTAAACATTTTATAAACCAAACTGTTATCTTAGTTTATAACTTTAATAAGAACCTCATTTTAATACAAACTATAAAATTTATAACTGATGGGGAAAAAGAACTTGGTGACCACAGGTGACAATGTTTTCACTTACTGATGGGATTTATACGAAAGCAATTTGATATGGTTACATTGCAATATAAGTTTTCATGATAGATGTCAAAATCCCAGTAGTTGTATTTAGTTAACAGTAAAGGATTTAAACAAAATTGTAAGCAAATGTTCAACAACGCTCTTTACGAAATAAACAAAAAACAAATTCTTTATTAATATATACTACTTTAAAAATTGCAGCTTTTTGTTATAATTTAATTATTATATAATATAATATTATTTAAGTAACATATAGTACTTAAACTATATTATAGTAATGGGACCAAGTGTATCAGAATGTTTACACAAAGACATTTTTTTAATCAAGTTAGCCTTTACCTATTGTCAGTTAACACAAAAGAAGAAACTCTTATACAACCGTATTATAGTATTTCCTTTGAAAGTTAAACGTATATTAGCTCGATATGATTACAAATTGAAACAAAAATGCAGGACTGTATATTTACCAAGGACTTGAGCAAAAGGTTGGTGTGTGTGAGTGACAGGTGCCACCCCTACCATAACACTGGCCGTGGTGCCGCTTTTGAACAGGCCGTGTCTGCTGGGCATCATGGACTGGCGGACATTACGTTCTGGGCGTATCAGGATTATGTATAACTGTGAAATAAGTAAAGAACTTAAGTAATATACATTATGAGACAAGTTTTAATCTTAAATTTTAGACAGAAATAAACATAAACAGTATTGTTTATCGTACTTCAAGTTTACATAATATTATTTAATTAATTTCACCTTAAGTTGGACAGCGTGAGCTGACCTGGTACGAAAGGACAGTTAAGATGTAATCCAGTTTTGAGTAATCAGTAAATGAGTTCTGCTATTATTTTTTTCGTTGCATTTTACAATTTCCTAGCACATATTAGTAACAACTTATATTAATTTGCCTTCGTTGATATTCTTAGTACAATTTTCTGCTAGGATATGTTTCCTCGTACAATTAGTTAAAAAACAGTTACAAATTATGGTAATAAGAGATTTTTTCGAGGTTTTAGCGTAAAAATACAATTATCTTTGAACTTTTTTTAGGAATTAGTAACATTTATATTAACGCTCTTAAAGATTGTATTGTTTACGCTAGGAGTGCTAATCAAATTGGCAAGGCAATGTACAAGTTATTGCTGTGACACATAGGGAAATTTCTTGATACTACTATCGTTAAACGTGATTTAAGTTTATAAATGTGTCCCAATATTTGGATGGTGGGCATTATATTTTATATGTTGAAACATGAATACAAGTTCACCCTTTTAATTTAATTTGATTTAAACTTGAGGCTAAATGTTACAATATATCACCTAAATGTTTCGAATCACGATCGATATACTTCAGTAAACAATTGCCAGTTACTTTAGACGCAAATGAGAGAACAGCTTAAAACCGACGAACGAAAGTAACGTGTCTAACAGTGCTTTACAAAACCTTTTTCGAAACTCTTTTGACTTTCCCTGCTACTTATTGGCTGTCAGTATCAGACCACTATACCTTTAGGAATCGTATTTGGTTTTAAAGTTCATTACAAAGTTGTTTATGCCAGAGGTTACAGGATTGCATAAAGAAGGCTAAACTTTTGATTTATTGTTAGTAATATTGTTACCCCAAAAACCATTTCAATTTCTATTTGAAAGACAAAATACTCCCACCATAGAAAATCTGCAGACCTAAAAAAATTCTATTTGAATGATTTGATTTTCTCCAAAAACCTCCTCAAAAATATAAAATTTATTCAATTAGAAATAAAATAAGGTTTGATGGGTAATACGGTTTGCTTTTACAGGGAAAGTGATAAAGAGTATTTTAGTAAGATTTTAATGGATTAGTATAAAATGGAAAAATAAATAAACATATGTTTACTTATTTGTACCTAATTTCATCAAAATATATTCCAGTCATTATGTCAGTGGATTATTATGTCATAATAATTATATAATGTATGAACTTGAATGGATTTTGTCTTTGGCCTCTGGGGACCTCAACACACAAAGAATTGTCTAAAACGGTCTCACCATAAGAACTTCGGTAATATATTATTTCCAATTATAGTATTTTTGTATTATTATTATTACCGATGGTTTATTATTATGGTATATTCATTTTTTTACGCTACAAAAAGGTTGATTAAGACCGGATTTTGAAAATGCGATGAGCATCATGTAAACCTCTATTTATCATTATGCTATCGAGTATGCAAACCTTGGGAGAGAAGAGGCAGACCAGGGTGACACTGGCAGATAGGCTGATAGTAACGGACATTGACGTGATCCTCAGTGGCATGTGATGACCAGTGCCGAAGTAGAGCGGCACGAATGCCAACCAGATAACACACGTTGTGTACATCGTGAAACCTGTTGGAAATAGTTACAAACGCTATCAGTCAAGATACAAGATTATCTGTACAATGTAAAAGATTCAAGATTAAACTCTAGCTCCATAAAAATAATAGCTCTTTAACTTTTAATAACATTTTTGATCTAGGAAACTATTATTTTATCAATTAGGCCCACTACTTTTATATTGGTCAAGAGAAAAGTGTATATACACTTAGTCTTAACCAACTTTAAAGTTTAAAAAATATAAACATTTTTTTAACATGTTTTGAACACTTCAGTTAGGAATCCTCACATATATTTTCCCTTTTTCATAAGTAATACATGCACACTATCTTATAGGTTAGTATAACATTATTGTAAAAAAATATACGTTGAACTATCTTACCGATGTGTTTACTCTCATTGAACGCCTCCGGTATATTTCTCGTAAGCACAGCGTAAACCGTGCACACCAGTATAAGGAGGATTGGATACCCAAACGCTATCATGTATGAAGCGTTAACATATGAGTAACAAACCAGTAGGTTGTCCTCTCTGGTGGGATAGTGGTGAATAGCTCTTGGCGGGGATACCACCATCCACACTCCATTGATTATTACCTATAAAAATATCCTTAATGTTTTAAGAGTCACCAAATATAAATGCCGTTTCTCTAGGCTTTGAAATGCATATCATTAGTTTTTAAGCTTGGATAAGTATATCGGTTTCCCTTGTATACAGGAACACTCATACATAAATTCTTGTTACATTCTTCTACTATCGAGGATTGAAATTGAATTGTGTTTCTTTTCTTGTTAACTACCATATCTACTTTTTTAACTTTGATCAGTAGTTTCATCATTAGTAGGCCTAATAACTTTGTTAAACATGTATTATATTTTTTTATTAATTGAGCAATTTTCGTTTAAATTGGCGTCCAAATTATGTGCCAGTATCAATATCACTTATCTTCTAGCTTCGAGTGGTCAGGATAATTTCAACCTAGGACATAGGTAAAATGCCCCCCAAACAGGATTATTTAGCTCTTTAAAAAATAATATACTAACTAGGAACAAACGAGTTGATTTAATTCACCAGTGTTGTGTTGTTCCCAATGAAAATTACTAAGGTTTGTAGCAGGTTAACTGACCTGAATAGATACGAGGCCACTGCAGATGAAGATTTGTGACCTTGGAGAAATAAAGCTTGGTCTCTTCGTGGTGCGTTTGCCAGCGTTGAAGATGCGAGATATGCGATTGGTCTTTGTAAAAAGAGCAGCGTATACAACAGTAAAGCAGAACCCCGTCCCGAATCTGTATTGTGAAAAATTATGTCAATTTGAGACATGTGTCATTTAATGATAGTAAGAAAACATTATTCTGTAGAATGTGTTTGATAAAAATAAGGCAGCGTAAAAGCAATCATTCTTGCCATAACCACTCGGGCTTGGTGTTAGAAAAAATAATATTAGAATAAAAGAAATATGATTATTCGTAGGGGTAAACGGGATAACTTCTATAAATAAAAACTTAACTTTGGTCCATTTACAAAGTTATGACTTATGTAGTAAGAAACTATTGTCTAATCATGAAATTGCACAAACTAAGAAACTACGTGACCTTTGCATTAATAAATTAAAGCACGATTAAAAGGATGCAGCTCGGGCATGCAAACCATTTAGGGGCTTAAAGGATTAGTGTATGGATGATTCCACAAAACCTTTGTGGCAATATCGCTGACATATATTGTAGTAAGTTACATCAAGTAACAAAGTTGAAACATTAAATAAGGATATACCGCGTAATACTCTAATATTTAAATTTGTTGTAGAGTGTTTTCTTTTCATCAAATATCAGATTTACTTTTAAAATCCCTTATAAAAATGCCAAAAGATATTTTAAAAATTTTAATTCAACGGTTTTACAGAACATATAACATTATATTTAAATAAACACTAAAACTAACCTCTGTACACCACAAACGACGTCGGTAGGCCGCAATACCAACACGAATGTAACGGAGTAGCAGAGCAGTATACCAGACAACAGTACGTAGCTTAGCTCTCGACCTGCTGCCTTAACTACTGGTGTGTTGTTGTGACGTACAAACACTCCAGCAACCAACAGTGTTATGATGATACCTTGGGTAGAAACATATTGTATTACGATACAGACAGTGTGCTATAGTAACGGAGTAGCAGAGCAGTATACCAGACAACAGTACGTAGCTTAGCTCTCGACCAGCTGCCTAAACTAATGGTGTGTTGTTGTGTCGTACAAACACTCCAGCAACCAACAGTGTTATGATGATACCTTGGGTAGAAACATATTGTATTATGATACAGACAGTGTGCCATAGTAACGGAGTAGCAGAGCAGTATTCCAGACAACAGAACGTAGCAAAGCTACAGCGACCTGCTGCCTTAACTACTGGTGTGTTGTTGTGACGTACAAACACTCCAGCAACCAACAGTGTTATGATGATACCTTGGGTAGAAACAAATTGTATTACGATACAGACAGTGTGCCATAGTAACGGAGTAGCAGAGCAGTATTCCAGACAACAGAACGTAGCAAAGCTACAGCGACCTGCTGCCTTCACCACTGGTGCGTTGCTGTGTCGTACAAACACTCCAGCAACCAACAGTGTTATGATGATACCTTGGGTAGAAACATATTGTATTACGATACAGACAGTGTGCCATAGTAACGGAGTAGCAGAGCAGTATTCCAGACAACAGAACGTAGCAAAGCTACAGCGACCTGCTGCCTTCACCACTGGTGCGTTGCTGTGTCGTACAAACACTCCAGCAACCAACAGTGTTATGATGATACCTTGGGTAGAAACATATTGTATTATGATACAGACAGTGTGCCATAGTAACGGAGTAGCAGAGCAGTATTCCAGACAACAGAACGTAGCAAAGCTACAGCGACCTGCTGCCTTAACTACTGGTGTGTTGTTGTGACGTACAAACACTCCAGCAACCAACATTGTTATGATGATACCTTGGGTAGAAACATATTGTATTACGATACAGACAGTGTGCCATAGTAACGGAGTAGCAGAGCAGTATTCCAGACAACAGAACGTAGCAAAGCTACAGCGACCTGCTGCCTTCACCAATGGTGCGTTGCTGTGTCGTACAAACACTCCAGCAACCAACAGTGTTATGATGATACCTTGGGTAGAAACATATTGTATTATGATACAGAATACCAGAATTTTGGATTTTGTCAACCAGGGCCTAGGAGGAGTACCTTTGACACCTGGAGCATGGGAGAAGAAACCTTCTCATCGTGGGGCTCTCTTTTGGGACCTCTCCGTCCAACTTCAGCGGCCCTCCAGTGATCTGACCTGAATAACCCATGGACTAATACCGTCGAACCGCAAGTTCTTGTTTATTGTTTATGTTTTACCAGACAGTGTGCTATGGTAACGAAGTAGCAGACCGGTAAACCAGGGAACAGTACGTAGCAAAATGTAGCGGACTACTAATGCTTCAGAAAAAGTGTTAGGAAGATATATTTAAAGAATAATCGTTTCGTTTTAAGGTAATGACAGTATACGAGAGATACATAGTGGAGTACAATATTATACACATAGCTGGCTTGAATTTTGAAATAAATTCCCCGAATTTTAAGATCAAATTGAAACAAATCAGAAACGTAAAATATGTTTGCATAATGTTTAACTTGATCAAATATACCTCAATCCAATTCCTGTATCAAATTTACTACCAACACCGGCTTTAATATCTTCATAGTTTAAAATGTAGCTTTTCTGTAATAGTAGGGCTAGAATATAGTATGTACTAGTTAAGAGTTCTTTATCAGACAAATTTAGTGAGTATTTGTTGACTTGATTTAACACAATTAGGCTGGAAGCGTCAATCGATCCAGAGCTGGCTTTCTAATTGGACTTTTATTGCCAATGTCCATTTTATCGGATGACAATTCCAAATTAATGTCTCTAGATTACTTGGCACCTTTTAGTGAAATTTTGCAATGTATTTAAAACTCGTTTTTCTTTTACAGTCCTTAAAAGGGAATTTAAGTATAGCAACGTTACTGAACTACAACCTATGTTAGAAAAATAGTAATTAATAAAAAATACATTCACATATTAACTCCACAATTTGGTTAATAGGACGACTCCCAAAACAACCAGAACTTGGAAATCTTATGCACGAATAAAAAAAATACATTCAACAATTTATTTTCCTTTATTATCATAAGATCCTTAAATATGCACAAAGAAAATCCCTCTATTTGATTGTAAACAACACAACAAATGTAGTTATAATTTAGATACATATTATTTATAAAACTCTTACTAGAATACATGATTTAATCGTTACCCACCTGTGGCAGAAAAACACATCGCTCCGATTGCCCAGGCACTCTCTACTTTGAGGAAGACCTCAGGTATATCTAGACATCGCTGCTTGGGAGCGTCGGGCACAGTACCTGCCGGACACATCTGACACTTGGTCTCGTCCAGTGGGTGTCTAATCTGTTCAAAATTGTAAAATTGTTATCATTTTTAACATGAAATTTACACTTTATCAGACCAAAATAAAAAGAAAATAGTACCAAACGTCACTTGACAATACTAAATATAAACAAATCAACACTACAGTCGGATAAAATAACACGATTTAATAAGCCTGAAATAAAGTCCCAATGATGTAACCACTTTTAGTTTGGAGCATAAAATTACCTCAAGACAGTTCTTAGAAATGAATACATTTTTCATGCCAACTATAAAATGGAAATAACGGATGAAACTAGTATGCTTGTCAATACAAATTTAAATTATTCGTAGTTGTGTATTTTTACTACCTTTTTTACTTGTATTATTTTAAGTATATGATAGGCCTACAAATTTATGTATGAAGTCCTCCTACAATTTTGTATATCAACCCTAAGCCCTAGTTTGAGCATCCGATCACAGCTAGCCCAATAGCTCAAAGTTCTTGTAATGTAACTGTATTGACCCATAGTCAAATAGTACTCTACATGTGTTTCAAACTAATACGTATTCACAACTTGCCTGATATTGCGTACAGTTGAAGCAATGCCAGCAGCAGCTTTCTCCCTCCACATATTGCTTTGCTTGTCCAAGCTCACAAGGGAGACTACATACTGACTCTGGTGCTGAAGGCCGACCCAGTCGGAACTGCACGTCTGCGATTAAGCAAAGTCACAGTAACAGCAACGATCTATGAGTCTTTTTTATGAAGGTTGCCTAGCTAAATAAATTAATGTGTCCATTATGGGAGCACACGACGTCACAAGAGGTCATTATTATGACTCTTTAAGCATGGTTGCAACCAAACCTATAAACTAATAGATTATTTTGTTCCATAATGTACAGTATTTAATTTTACAGCTGTTAAAAACCTAATATTGTATAGACAAGCCATACTTAATAGTTATTAAGTTTACAGTACATTATGCCATTACATTAGCTAAATAAAACTGTATTTTACAACACGATATAATGGGATACTAAAGCCTTAACAACATTTGTATTAGCGATTTATACAATGATTTGTAAGAAACGAAAAGGTTTGACATTCAAATTCTTCATCTAAATACTTACGAAAACACCATTTTTCTCATAGGGAAATTAAGTTTCACATAAAACAATTAACTGTAATTTTCATTTAAGCAGAAAAGTATTACTGCACAAAATTAATAAATGATCTTTTAAAGTGTAAGAAACTGAAATAACCGTCAAATAACTTATACCGAGTAATTCCATGAAAACATCATAGATGACTTGATACAAATGTTTGCCCAACTTGATGGTCGTGCTGTTTACTAATATGTAGCCTACTAATGTATACCACCTGAGCAAACACGTATTGGCCCTGTGGCATGAGACGAAACCGGCCAGTTGGATCGTTTAAACCGTGTATTTGCAGAGAACTATCTAGTATCTATTACGAGCACAATACACAAAGACTCTATAATTTGTCTATTTAATATATATAATAGCTACGCAGGCAATCCGGTTACACTTTAATACAAGAATGTTCAAAAGGTAGTCACAATAGTATTTCGAAATGGGAATCAATAGGTTTTCTCATTAAAAATTATTTCCGCCCCCGCTAACCTCAAACGAATGAAAATATACTAATATCGCGATTATTTAAAAATTTTCTTCCACCCGTCTTTTAAGTACGCTACCAACCAGAGGATTTTGGTGTGACGGTCAACCAATAAATTTATCAATAAAATTTACCTGACATATTGAGGGTTAGTTCTCCTTCGATATATTCTCCGACCTTCAGCCACTGATAATGTCCTTTTTTGATCTGTTTGAAGTGGATTATATTGTAGCGTGCAGGACCATCTCCGTTGGCGTCAAACCTAAACTTGTCTCCTGACAAACCTGTAACAACATAGTTTATTTTACAAAATATAAATATAAATAACGGCTCAATGATAATGAAAAAAGTCATAAATTCAATTTACCTAACCTAAACAGGGACAATTTCATTTTACTATTGATTTTTCTATAAATACTAATAATAGGCCAATGTCCATAATTATTACAATCCTAACTGAAGACTATCAGAATATATTATTGGTATAAGAAGAAATGATTATACAAAGAGCATTATTTTAAGAAATGACAACTCAATTACCTTCAAAGTTAACCTTCCTAAGGTACTTGAGTAGGTCTGGACCCTTCGTTGGGCGCATATGTTCGCACAGCCCTTGTTTGTTGAAGCAAAGTTCACTGAAAAGTTAGTTTATATTTAGAATTATGACTTTAAAATATTTATAGTAAGAAAAAGTTAATATGCTGGAGAATTTTACGCACGAATTGAACGCATTGAATGTTTCTATAGTTATATTAAAACACCACATTGTATTTAATGAAGTTATATCCTCTATCTGACCTAAAATAGCAGTTCATCACTGAGGTATTTATATGTCAGGTATAAAACAACCGTGAATCATTTTAATATATTAATATTTTAATATTTAGATCGCAAAGTACGTCATTGCTGCCCGAGAACTGTAGATATCCACGCGAAGTTTTAGCTGAGTGCGGACATACAGAGTGGCAATTTTTTTTTGTGGTGGCAATACCCACAAAATCTTTCCTACCACCATAATGAACTTATAATAACACATATATTCACTTTTAAGGTGTACTAGCAGTTACCCGCGGCGCGTTGTTGCGCTAACAACTAGTATTTTTACTGTAATGTTATTTCTTACTGGTTGTTAACTAACGTACCAGGTCCGTGACTGTGGTTGGTCTATAAACGACAACTGGGAAATCAGCTGATTTAGCTAGCGAGAATGATCCATTCCCGCTCTAGAGCGGCAATGGGCTACAGTATATTGTTTACAAATACAATGTGATAGGAATGTGATTTTTTGTAGGAATTGTTTTTTCTATGCTTGTCTGTGATTAGATATGTTATCGTATTCACAGCGTAGTCATAAATAGTCCACTAGCTGATAAACAATTTTATACAGCAGTTTTTTTTTTGTTTTTTACTCAAACAACTACAATCAAATGGTTATTGCAAGCAAAAAATTTTGAGTTTTAAGGTAAAAAACATGGAGTCCAGCTAGATAGACGAATGGGAAAAGTTAAAAACAAATACAGCGAAGAGAAATATTTCATGAATTAGCTAGTTAACGTTTCATAATCAGTACAAAGATATGAGTTTTTATGGGAAACTATTTAATAAACTAAATAAAAATTATGAATTATAATTCCTTTACTCAAACGTGTTTAATATTCTTTGTACAAAGGTTAGCCTATTTCGGAGTTTGAAATCCATAATCAGGCTTGATGCATACACGATAATACACTAATGAGATATTTTGATGTCAGAAAAACGATCTGCGATTTCATTAAAATATTTTAACTAACATAGAATAACACATTAAACAAGATTGATGTTAGCGTTTCAATTAACTCGTACTCAAATATTCTAGATGGATTGGACACATTAATTATCCTTCATTGACAGCTTTCATCCACTAACGATCAACTGTGAATGTAATGCCATTCAAAAGGATATTGATATCATTCTATTGCAATACACTGTAATTAAACTAGTGATTGCGCTATTGTCTGATAGTATGATCTACTGTAATATAACCAGAACTATCCATCTCACTCCTCAGTTGCTATAACTACATAACTGCTTTAGCTTAATTGCTTGTAAATAATTGCCTTCACTTGTTTCATAAATTGCATTTTTACAAACGTGCGAGAAGGTTCGTAGGATTAATAGTATTATAGTTCCATTATGACTTAAGATTCACGTTAAAATTGTTTCGTGACGTAATTTTACCTCTGAAAGCAAATTACGCTTGGAGATGTTGTCCACTGCTGTTACGAAACAAAATTTAGTAGGCTTCAATCATAGATTGACGGTCAATTGATGATATATATTAAAAATATATTATATATTAAAAATTTCATTGGTTAAAAGTAATTTTGACAACATTACGAACTGGATCGTCACTTGTAGCCTATAAACACAATTTGACTACTAGTTAATTTGCAAGTCGATCCTTAAACAATGGTTACAAAATATACAAGCACACACATGCATATTATATGTATGTATTAACACAGAATCTAAGCACTGTAAGTGCACAAAGCATTCAACAAAATCTTACTTATGTTACCAAAAATTCATTATATGTTATTTACTAGGACATTAAAAAATAGTTGCAATAGTATCTGTATAGGCCCCTTCATGAAAACATTAGTAAACTGAAGTAGTTAACTAAATGCAAATCTATTAAAACAAATGTTTTGTCTCACGGGCAAGACAATCTATATTTAGATTTATAATTTAAATAAAAAATTTGATGAAACCAGCATCGAAGAAATACCTGTGCATGTCTCTCAGAGCCACAGCGAATGCCATGACGGCGTCGCTGACGAACTGTAGCTGGTTCTCAAACACTGTGTTGTCCGCCGTGAGTCGCTCCAGTCCTGTACAGTTGTGGGAGTGTCGTTGGTTGTAGGGGGTCCGGGGACTGTTGGGGTAGCGGCATTGAAAGTGGTGCTCCCAGAACTCTAACAACACATATGGAGAACAATCAGCTGATCAGTTACAGCTATTGTTAGATGAGTGATCATGTTGCTTACCTAGTAATCAGAACTAGTCATAACCTCTAAGAGAGGTTATGTTTTTGTTTATAACCACTCATTGGCACCCAAATACAATCAGTATAATCAGCTGATTGGTGTCCGGTAAAACTCATAATATTATAGTAGTACGCAATGAAACCCCAAGCCGGTGGCAAACAGCTGTTTTCTGGACTAAATCCTTGCGTGAGAAGTTCGTCAAAATAGTGTAGTGTGGCGTAAAGTCGTTTTGGGGTAGTGTTAGGGCGCATTTGTAACCTAATAGTTGAGATTGTCCAGGGTCAGGTGCTGACTGTGATGAGTTAAGCCTATTACTATGCTATTAATGCTATTAATGCTATTACACGCCACTTATAAACAAATTATAGCTACACAAAACAACGATAAATGCACAAATTCAAGTTAAAATCATGCTAACACGATCCGTCATAGCGACACAAAACAACGATAAATGCACAAATTTAAGATACAACCATAATAACACGATCCGTATTGGGGGTTATGTTTACACAAACTGAAATAGTAAATAAATTTACTCAATTCGTGTCATTAAATTTAAAAATAAATAACAGCAATTAAACTATACAGGTGATCAAAATGTAAACAATTATTTTCTTCATAAGAATAACGTGGGAACTTTCAAAGCCACTGGGGCATAGCCCAAGGGACTTTTTCAAAAATGTAAGGCTAGTTTGCAAATCAACGTGACCTGTTCTTTCCAATGAGACGTCAATGGATAAAATCGGTTAAGAAATGGCGGAGGAGTTCAACCGACAAAGTTCCATGTAGCGTATTAATTATATAGATATGCAGGTTTTATACTAAGATGGAATAAGGGGGGCGTCACCAAGGAAGCCCTGGAATGAAACCTTCGGTATATAAGAGTGGAAATGCCTTTATATACATTGAGAAAGAAACTGATAGAAGAGGTAAATGGCACGTAAGATCAGGAAATGTATAAAAAGTAAGTTGGAGATGTTCAGTAGAACCCCTATGCTTCTACAAGAGGATTCTACAAGGAGGATTCTACAAGATTAAGCAAAGTAAAAAAGTTGGTTTGATCCTGAGTAATTTCAGTAGCTTTTTGATGGTTCAAAACTTGACCAAAATGTCCTTGATTATTGAGAATGTTATGGAAAAGTTCTAGCCAAAGAACCATGTGATCTTTGAACAAGTTTATCGTTCATTCCTTATGGATCAGCTGAAGACGAATTTATTGTTAGTTCCATCCGGTTCCACTGGGATCGTGTTTTGTCTACAGTTTTTATTATTTTTATTTCAGTTATTTAAAACCTCGTTTAACCAAAAAAAACAAAAACGATTTAATCATAAACAATGTCTTATCCCCTAGTTATATAACCAAACAGTTAAGTACATATAATGAAATTTCATTAAAATAATATAAACTAAATTTCGGCAATACTAGTGCTCAGTGTCACCAATATGAACCAATAAATATTTTACGAAAATATTTACCACCTTTATATGAGCAAATCTAGTTAACTATGTAAGTAAGTTTTAAGGGATTTTTTTCAAATTGTAGTTTACAACTAAACAATATCCTCTTTAAACCCCTATTAACGTTTAATCTAATTATATGGGTAGGTAATATTTTTTTAATACTCTAATTATTTACAAAACTACATAAAGACGTCGGTAAAAACGTAAACAACCAGTGTATGATGGCTGGTTTTACTAAAAATGCACAAAGCGTGTTTCATTCGTGGAAAACGTCTGTAACAAGGCTACAATGTCGTGGTTTCTTGTCAATGTTTACTTTACTGCAATCAAAGTAAAGCAAGGGAAAAGGTTTCTGTGGAAAGTGGTTAATACATCAAAGCTGCTACATTTAGCAGATGTCGAATAAACGCATTCAAATTAAATGTAACTCTAAGCTTTTGCTTTTGCCGTTAAAACATCTGAGGCGTTAAGATTTAGTTAAATCATTGAGGGACCTGTTTGGTTTGAAATATCCAGTAATTAAACCTGAACCAGGGTCTATATAATCTTAATTTGTATATAGTTAATCTTTAATCTTTAGGTTTTTGTCTGGGTTCATAGATTATTATTGACTTATATGTATTTCCAGAGAGGCTTTTATAATTACACATTCAAGGTACACACTCGTACCTTACATGTTTTTAAAATTCTATATTTTCATTGTCCCACCAGATACAGCTGTAAACATGCTATTACGGTTTACAAATGGAAAAACTGTAGTAGATTTTGTCCAATTATTGGATGCGTCCTTAACCTATTGAGCCATAAACCTAATAACGTTGAAGGAAATCTCTCTATGTATCTAAATCTACGTTCATTCATAAATGTTGGTCTATTTGAAAAAATATTTAATTAAAGAAAATATACGACAAGTTTTGCAAACTTGGCGAGGCCAAGATTTTTTTTTGTACAATTACAAATTTCAAGAAAAGATTAATCAAAATTATCAAACTTCCACGGTTAATGTGGTGTTTTTTCTATAACTTAGTTTTTTATGTTTTATACAGTATGTGGCATAAAATCACAATATAAAACATATTTTGGTGCAAATACTATTTAATACAATATGTTCCCATTCAATATTAGTTGATTTTACGAAAAAATTTTAGAAAAATTTGTAAAATTGTATTGTTACATTCAAAAATATATTTGTAAGTTAATATATAAGCTCTAGTCTTATTATCATGTTACATTCTTCAGAACTATTTATAAGATTTGCATCATTCCAATGACATAAAATGGACAAAGGATATATCCAGTGGTCAAAATCAAAGTAACTTCTTTCGACTATAACATATAACTATAAATACTCTTCTACACCGTGATTCATGATCTTACAAAACTTAACCAAACACCACTTCCTAATTACTTGCAAGATAGTAAAATATTAACAAATGCATATTCAAAAAGATGCAATTGGAAAAAAAGAAAACTGACCGACAAACCAAGGGTTTCTCCTGTTGTTCTCCACTGTGAGGTTGAGGAAGTATCTGTCAAAGCCTAGGACAGGGTTAGCCTGAGGTTGTACACTAAGGGTCCCCTCCACCTCAGCTTCACTGCCTTGCCAAACCAAGGACCTCGCTGACCATCCGTCGCTGCCAATCCAGGAGAAGCTACCCGTGGCGTTACAACGACGGACAGCTTTCATCAGAGCAGCCACCTCTTGGTCTGACCCGAAGATAATTGCTCCTAACAAAAGAATAAATATTTTTAGGTCTGCATTTGTGCACAATAATTGTCAATATCCAATAATCGTTGCTTTTGGCTGAACACTTGTCGATGGGCAAAAAATCAGCTTTTTACAAATTTTTTCCTTCAACCGGTGTTTTACGACACAGGTTTACTGGGCTAAAAAGAATTTCGGTGTTGAGGTTTCGTCAGCATTTTGTTTTAGGATTAAAAAGAAGTTGAAAGATTTTTCACTTATGATTTGTAGTTTCAATTTATTTTTCTGACTGATTGTTAGTACTATTTAATGTGATTTGTTCCCGAAAATACACAAATCCTATTTATTTATTCTGCTTTCTAAAAAACTCTAAACCATTTAGTATAAAGAATTCTCAATGCATATATTTAATTAACTTAAATAGGGTAAATGGACAAAACGCAAAAAAGGAGTAATAACTATTTACATAATTCTATAGAACATGGCTGGTGGAAACGGTTTATGATATTTTGTTCAATATCCTATTGTTGGTGGAGTTATTAAACTACAACTGTTATTGCTCGTGGTGAGAGCTGTGAGTACAGAAGCAAAAATAAACGAGGTATTTGGATGGCTCAGGTCCACTGTATGTTTCCATTTCACATCGGAAACATTCAATATAGCTTTCCGTCTAAACTAAAATGTTGTCCGTATTTCTACAAAATTAAGTTATAACCGGTTGAATATAGTCATATTTTACTGCTTGCTAAGAGTGTTTGTTGGAGATTACTTCTTACCAATGCAGCCTACTTTAAATGTTAATGATTGTGACTGTTAGAGAAACATATTACAAAATTACCATGCTTGAGGTACCTTTGTGGAATGGAATTTCCATAATGCTTACGTTATCTGGTGTGGCTTCCTCGTAAAATTGTTTTTCTCCTTTTGTAAATGTGTAATTAGTATGTAGAGTAATAGTTATTACAACCGTGTTGGATTGTAGATTGTTGAATATGGACTGATTTTAACTCGTTCCGCACAGGGTTCGCCTATTTGGGGAAGATCCATTCTTTTTTAGAACTACTGTATTGTAATTCTTGTTTCATGGAATAAATTATGTTTAATTTTGATTTGGTTTTGAAAGGACCTATGGCCTAGCACGTAAAAATATATTCATATTTGAAATACATCTAGCATAAGTAGATTCATGCAGCAAATTGTTTACCATCGGAGAAGAAGTTATTAAAAATGAAATATAATTGATTATGATATTTTCCATTAAACGCCTACGATACTTTTCGTATTTAAACTACACTAATATAGAGAAAGGCAAAATAATGATTTAATATAACAAAACAATATACATATATAAAGTATAAATAAAAAATGCTGATAGTGTTTTATAACTGCACGCAGTTAACAGTTTCATGCATTTGAAAACCTTAAAATTTCAAATTTGGTTTTAAATGCAATTCTTCTAAAGAAAATATTGCATTAAAAGTTATAATCTATCAGAGGGGTTGTTGCAATAAATGGGAAAGTTGGACAAATGCAGTGCAAATGAAAAGAAGCTAACGACGTCCTATTGAGATGACGGCGTGAAATGTGTTTCAAGACCACCAGAGACTTATAATTAAAGTGCTTGCAAATGTAACTAGTCTTACATTTAGTTTGTTTTCAACGTTGTACAGACTTTCAAGGCGTTAATTATATATAATAGTCAGGTATTAGGTGTACAGTAATTAATTCTACAATTAATACAAAAAATAAACTATTCACACACTTGTAACAAAAAAGTTCTATATTTCGTCATTAGCCTTCTTCAGGAACAAACTAAACAAATAAAAATGTTTACCGGTCTGCATCAGATGGTTTGACAAAAATACATATAGTTTATAAAGAAGTAAAAAATAAAATTTGTATAACAAACATGAAAGAAAATAATTCTACAATTATAAATTGTGGGCCTATAATGCCTATGCGTGGAATGTATCCAGCAAAGCTAGGGGTGAGCTAGTACAGTCCAAGGGTAAAGTGTACCGATGAATACAAACTGTATTCATTGAGTTTACTGATCAAAAGAAATACTAGGATCTGAACGCACGGCATCGTTGAATTGGGCCCGAAGTCCGTAGCACCGATTCACCAATCTAGCTAGTCACAGATCCAATTATTTTCTAATTAAAATAGCTTGTTTTACAAAAAAATCTTCATACTCTCAAATGTTATTTAATGCAATCCTTTAAAATATTATGGTTAATATATGTATGGTCGAAACATAAAAGACCGTAATACACATTCATTGTATTCATATGTCGGTATACAACTTGAATATGGGTTATGCATTCAAACGTTCTTTATAAAACCGTTCTTTATAAAAGTTTATACTAAAGTTTATTAATAGCTACTCATGTGAAAAGTCATTTACTACTCTTACACCCAAGCAAACATACAATTTTAGAATGCCCGTTTATTACGGTTGGTTACTCATCACATTATAGAATAATATAAAAACTCTCAATTCACACGCTTCGTACAAATAAGAGTTTAAAATCATATAACTTAAAACAAGTTTCATATACTAATAGTGTACATGCTAATGAATACAAAGTGACAAAACATTGAACTGAAATTTTGCCATATGGATACAAACATCGGTAGATGGTGAGCTGGCAACATTTTAATTCGTTTCGTGTTGCATTATAATAATAATATTCCAAATTCCTTAGTTTACTCTGTGAAGATTATAAAAAATGTTTGTAGAATAGGTTATACAGCATATGGCAAAATATTGACACCTACCTCTTGCCCTTGGCTTAGTGAGCAGTCTGTGCACTATGCTGTCGTAAGCAGTGTCCTCAGCGACGCCGGAATCCTTGACTAATTTCTCTTTCACTGCGATGCAGATCTCGTATTTTGCTAGCAAATCCTCAAGTTCTTCGAACGCCTAAATCATTGATTTGAAAGAATATTAGTTTAAATAAGGCTAAAATATGCCTATAAATGTGTCAATTCTATTGAAAAACGAAACATACGCAAACCTACAAGTTTTTTTAACTGGCTTAAACAGTTTATGGGTTTTTCCATACTACAAATAATGGTAGTTGGTTGCGAAATTGTTATGTAGAGTAGCACAGACAAATAGCATTGCCTGAACTAATTTACCTTGCTTAAAGATTTTCATAAAACTGGAAACCGAAATTAAAAATGTTTTCATTAATTACCACGCAATTTATAAACATTAAAACTTTTAATTTTTTGAAAACCGGACCTTTTTTGACCAAACCACACTTGATCTTAAACGTCAATAGCAACCTAAATTCTTAAGATACAATTTAATATTTGTTGGTAAGTAAAACTATTCCACTCATTAATATTTTTTTACTTCCAGGACCAAATATTCAAAATCATATGTATTTGATGTTATTGTATAAAAAGTGTTTTGAATGACTAGAATCTTTTTCATGGAAACACTAGGAGTATGTATATGCATTTTACATGATGTCTTAAGACAGGTTTGGTTTAACCTTAACCCCGTTAAGAAATATTGTATTGAAAGGATGAAATGAGAAATGAACCAACCTCATTTAATGTACATGCAAAAATGAATCATGTTGTAGTAAGCCTGATATGTTAATTGTGTCCATTTTTGCGTTATATTTCACAGAATAAGTTAATATCTGCTAGATTTCATAAAGTTGGTTAAATGAAATATAATCCAATTAACAAAGTAGTATTAAATATTTTAATCCGTAAGAAACTGCTGTAATTTCTAAGAAGCAACAAAGTAAAAACTAACAGAGATTAACTGTGTTCTTATGCAAGTAGGGAGAAAGTCGAGATATTATTGTAATACTCCTGAGAATTCATTAGCATGCGTAAACAGATATTCCTATGCAAAACACGCTCGCCTGAACTCTCGCTGAACACGTGCCGCAGTTTTGTGAATAATGTCATTAAACTTACTTTCCTCATTTAAAATTACTAAGTTGAACTTAATAGAAATTCTGCTATTGAATGTTTTGTCAACCGCGTCATATTATTGAATAGAGTTGATTTGTATGATTATTTTATATTTAATTTAATAGAAAACAACCAAAAGGATATTTTTTTCTGCAAAAAGTATGTGCACTTCTTATTACCATACATAGATATTGTCTGTGACATCATTTACTACATTAAAGTGCGTCCCTTGAAAAAATCTGTTGTATGACTTTTAATATACCTAAAAAAGCCAAAACAAATAGCTCTCTTATATAGTCACCCTCTTATATAGCTTCACAAAAAGAACCGTGCCATTGTTCGTAGTAATTTAGTAATATATATCTTAAACAAAATTGTTAAAACATGCTGCCAAATAAATCGTTAATCAATTACATTATTGAATGTGTATATTGTAATTTATTTAGGAAATAATCTGTTGGTAAAATATTTATTCGTTTAAAACTAATACTTTAGACGACGAGTCATCATGCTTGATAACACATTGTCTACCAGATTGTTAGTCATAAGAGTTCAACGAATTGTCTTTGATAAATCTATGTCTTATAAATATCTTAAAGCTATTGGAATTAATATTAAGATTTATAACTACACTATTTATTACGTTTTTTTACATCTTTTTTACCTACAGTGTATAATTTGTTGTAGACATATCGTCCATTGAGGTTAAGTTGGTAGTTCTCCCTACCTTTATGCCGTAGTTGGACTCCTCATATATGATTGAGACGTAGCTCCAGCCTAGTCTCCGTACGATCTCCACCATTGCTTTGACCTGGTGATGGTCTGAGGGAATAGTCCTGGTGAAGTACTCAAACCTTTGTTTGTTGCTCAGCTCCGGGGAAGTAGAGAAGAATGATACCTAAATATGACATTAGGTTAACAAATGCATTTACAAGTATTGGTAGTGAGTAAAATAAATGTGATGATGGTAAAATAAATACTCAGGTAATCTATAGATAAAAAAAATAGTTAGACGACGTATGAAATAAAGACAATAATAATTGTATAGTCATGCTTTCAAATGTCCGTTGGCATTATAGTATAGGTAGAGTACAAAATACGCTGTTTTAGGCTGTTTTAACTTTTGTTTCCTTGTTAGGCATTAACTTATCTAATCTTACTTCCTGACTAGTTGGGTAGCTGAGTGGTTGAACTGCTCACCTATCGAAAGGTCATTGATTCGATTCTGAGAAAAATCTGAAACTGGACCCAGCTATTCCTGATCATTGGGCTTTTAATGATTAATCACGACCGATGAAGCATATGATCTTAGTAAATAACAAAGCTACACAGATCAAGTCACAATATTCTACACTCATCTTTTACTCATATTTGGTTGAAGTACGCACTTATGTGGCGTCCCCATCTCATAATGATAATGATAATGGTAAAAAATGATCCACACCAAATTAATGTATATTAACAAACCAACCAAACACAAAATGTTTTGAAACTATTTTATGTACCAATTTAATTATGTTTTTAACAATGGCCTTGTATGAAATGCATAGTGAATAATTCCTATTATTATTATTCAAACTTTGCCTACAAGCTTTAGAAAATGCTCAGAATACCTTGGTTTCGTATTTTTGGTATGATACCACTGTGAACTAACTACTTGAAATTTATAACAAAAGTATATAATTAGCTGTAGGAGCAAAGTTAATTAAGGTTAATTAACTAAAAACATCATTACTAAGTTGAAGGCTGTCATAGCCAAGATGTACCAATATTTCATATGACACACAACGACAATCAGTTTCACAGTACAGTAGTAACAAATTACATATGATGTAATATTCAAAGACCAAAAATACATACATATAAACAGATAGAGTTCAGTTGGTACCCTTATATAGATCTAAATTTTAAAATGCATTACCCTAAACCTCTTTACATTTACGTTTTCGTAGAAAGAATGTTAAAGAAAATTGGATTGGCTCGAAGAACGGGTGATAATAGCAACGGGCTTATTTTCCATCATAAATAGGCCGATGTAAAAATATAAAATGTAAAAATATGTAAAAATGTAAAAATGTAAAAATTTTAAATATAAAAGTATTTTTGACAATGGTTAGTCGATTAAACAGTTTAAGAATATAGTTTAGTTTTTTTTATATAACTTTACTTTCGTCTACCATCAGAACAAAACATATTTATTTGTCTGTTTTTTTACCACATAAAACCGAAGGTTGTCTGCAGTTTTATTGAATGGGAGCGATTATTTCAAGTGATAAGTGCAGTTCAGAGTCTGGTGCCATCATAAATATTATCTGACCGTCAAAACAAACTTCTAGTTTTGGAAGCTGTCCAAAACCATAACGATAGTAAATTTTGCACCTTGTCAATGGAACTGTGATCTCCATTAACTGGGAGGATTTCGTACAAAGGTTCCAGTTTGCAATTTTAGTTCATGTTATGATAATATTTTCACTTATTTAAAAAAAAAAAAAAAAAACATTCGTTCGTTAACAAGTTAAGAAAGATATTGTGTTCAATAACACTTTTTGTCCAAAAAAATGATTAAAATTAGGAATTAATCCTATAGGAAAATTGAGAATTTTAAAAAACATTTTTAAGAAGATTTACCACTTGAAGATTTTGCTGACGATGGGGAAATACAGGGTGGTCGTGAATATAATTTGGATACTAAACTAATTTATATACGCTTAAATTACCATACAAATTCAGCTACTATGTAACATTATAAACATCCAATCAAATACTTGTGATTATATTATAGCATAATGCTATATTGTATAATGTATATAATATATTGTATAATGCTATAATATAATCACAAGTATTTGATTGGATGTTTATAATGTTACATAGTAGCTGAATTTGTATGGTAACTTAATCTATATAAATTAGTTTAGTATCCAAATGATTGAATAACAAATTCACGTAAACTTTTATATCATGTCTTTACTATAAATAAGAGTATGTCATTCGACTGTTTTGCAGTAGGAATTTATATACTCTGAATGGCATGAAACGTTTAACTGTTGGTAAATGATGCATAATTTATAGAACATTATATTTACAAAATTAAAATGATTAATAAAAAAAATCTTTAAATGTTTCTCTCTTACGAGAATGTGTATTTTCCTTTACCTGAGGTATTTTGAAGAGTCTGAGAAGGTTGGCCACCTGTATGGATGTCACACTCGATGCTGCCCCTACGACTCCTGAGATTACTTTCCGGATTTGAGTTTTGTTGCAGTGGTACTCAGCATCGTCTATATTGCTGATGGAACCTGTAAAATAGAAATCATCAGTAACACAAGGTGATCTCGAAAATGTGTACGATGCTAGGGAGAAATGTGATGTAGGTTTGAATGGTGTAGGGTCTTATTATCTATTGTCAATAATCAATTGAGATTATGATGGATTATAGGTGCGTATTTTAACCCATATATGAGTTTATGATAAGTATAGGCTGATAAGTATAGTATTGGTGTGGATGGTACGTGTGGCATTGTTACTGGCTAGGATCAGCTGTTTAAGTAGCCAGGATAATTTGTTTAGAGCACAAAATGATAAGCTGGACAGCTGGGTCCAAATGTTAAAAAAGCTACTGAATTTTCTCAGGATTGATCCCACAACCTTTGATAGTCAGGCAAGTACTATATAATTTTTAAAGAAATTATGCAATTCATACATAGGTACAACTATGTAGGCCTATTAGAAAACTCTCAACTTAAACTATGAAATGTTTAATGTTTTTGGGTTAACTTTTTATCAGCCACTGTAGAGTGATGTTTTCGTAGGTCCTTCCCTTCTAAATGATCCTAAATGACTTGAAAGATTGTATCACTATATACGGTCAGCTTCTATTTAGAAAAAATGTTAATGTAGCCCTGAAGTACCAAAAGGGTTTTAGACTTTTAGTTTGGAAAATTACTGCATGTGTATCCGCATGGTGTAAAGACTTAAAGCTTACTAGAAAATGTTTAAATACCTGCTATTAAGCAATCCAATTAATTGGATTGCTTAATATCAGGTATTTAAACCTTTTCTAATATTATTTGGCAATCTGGAGGCTAACAACTACAATGAACTTAAAACTTAGATAGTAAAATGTAAAAAAATTAATAAAATACGTAGCCTACTATAGTATTATCTAAGGAAAGCCTAGTTATTACATGTTATATTCGTTAATCCTTACCTTTAATAAAATCCACAGCCATTTCTAGTCCGTACGTATCTTTATCACAGTCATCAAGAATATGAGCTCCAATAGAGAACGGATATCGAGGGTCATTGTTTATGACATCCAGAGTGTAAAGCATTGTCTCCAAGGCTTGAATCCCTCCTTGAGGCATTATAGGGCCACATGTTACAGAATCTTCACGTTCGTGAACCATCATCAATCCTCCCAATATAAGGTCCCCGGGAGTTTCAGCAGCAAGCTTTACTGGCCAGGGATCATTAGAGGCAGAGGGTTTTGCCAGAGAAGTAGGTGGCGTAGGAAAAGAAGTTCTTCGGGGGGATGGAGTAAACGATCTAGATACAAAGGATGAAGAATTGGTGTCTGACGAAAAAATTCTCTTATATGTATTCGATGACGAAGCTTTGTCAAACGGGACGTTTTGCGATCTAAAGCTACGTATTGAAAATATAGTGGTTGGTTTTGATGTCGTGAAATTGGCATACGTATAATGTTCTGCACTTGACAAAGGCGATTGAGTTGGCTTTATGTTAAATGTTTGAAAAGTACTGACTAAAGTCCCTTCTGTATTTGGGCTAAGCGTTGGTTCTGAATTGTTTGTATTATCATCTGACTGCAGTTTTTCAATATGCTTCTTTGAATTGTTTAGATATTTATTGAAAGGTGTTTCACCTAATTCACTAATATTTTCTTTTAAAATCTGTTTATCACTTAATAAACCATTATTCGTATCATTGTTGGTAGTTGAATTTTGGCTTTTAACGAAATTCATTGAATATTTTCTCCTTCTTGTAAGTTCTCTAAATTTTCTTGAGTGATTTAATGGTGAGGTCACATTTGAAGTTACTACGGTTTCATCTTGTTTCATAATTGTTTTAAGGGCATCTAAAGCTGATACGTTTTTTCTCCTCGATGGTTTGTTTAAATGTTCATCGTCCAATGTCGAGGCAAACTCATACTTCTTAGATATTGATTCCAAGCTGTTAGGTTGAATTGAGAAGTGTTCTTTGGCATCAAAGTTTCCCCTTGACTCCAAAATTTGTGTAGGCACTTTTGAATTTCTATAAGCTACGTCATAATTGATCCTCTTATTTGTATAATATTGTTCCATGCTATCCCTTGCATTAATCGTGTTATTTTGCACCTCTAAACTTTCGTTGAACAGCCTACGATTGGTCACATGAGAGACCATGCTCGTTACAGAAGTATGAGTGCTCAACGTTTCGAATGTTTCTGGAACAAAGTTGGCTCTTTGTTCTGGTTTGTAATCCGCGCCGAGTTTGTCCGCAGGGTTTTCACTCTCTGTTACACTAACGATTGTTGGAATAGGAGCAGAGGTGATTGCACCATAGTGGGCTGTGGTGTGTGGTTTTGTAAACGGTGAGTTTTGAGAGTCCACTTTGACGCCGGTCACGACCATCCTTTGATAGATTAATATCAGAGTTAAGCCTGTAGCTACATCCATATCTGTGATGAATTATTTTCACTTGGTTTCCTGAAACAGAATTTATCCAGGCTTAAATCTCGACATCAGCTTTGATCAAAGTACATGTAATTGTGGGAAAATTTGAGATTGGATCACTTTACGTTTGATATTTGCAAATAAAACCCTTCACTTTTAGTTGGAATGATATTATTGTTTATTCCAATCATAAGCCTGAAATGACATTTAAATTTCATAAAGCAATATAGTTTCAGAGTTAAATCAAATAAAAAATATAGTAAAGATAGTATTTCAATCCTATTTATCTTTACCCATTGTCACCCCCCTCAAAAAAAAAAAAAAAAAAAAAAAAAAAATTAAAGAACAGCAGTCTAGCACATCACTAATGATAACCAACAATACACTATAAGCCAATAAACAGGTACCAATATGCTATAAGCCAATGTAGTAGACGAAGTGTGGAACCTAAATGTTACAGGTCATTTTGAAAAATACTCTTATTACATGCATTATAGCTGACGTTGTACGAAACAAAGGATAAAAACATATTTATAATGAAATCAAACATTTATATGAACCAAACTACAAAAATATCGTTTGTCCGTTGAAAAATTAAAAAGGTTTATTTAATTTTTCATATAATTGCAGTTTATAATGAATTTACTCTGGCAACTGGTGGTTGAATTATTAAATAATGAAAAGAGAGGATAAACAAATTACAATAATGATAGGCAATAGAGGATTATACAGTAAATTAACATACAGTACCTGGGGACCGAGCTTTGCTCGGAGAAAATCATTAGTTCACTCTGAAAGCAGTCTTAGTATCGGAGATACATAAATCTGTTCCCAAACTCCACACGGCTCGCCTTTACAACGTCCTACACCATTTCCTACGTCATGGACCTGTTTCCCTCCATTCCCATAGCACTTTAAGATTGTAGATACCTTAATCTAATCGTTATTAACAGTTCCCACACTCCGGACAGCTCGCCTTGACTACTTCCTTCACCACTTCCAACGTAGCGGACCTGTTTTTCTCCCTTCCCATAGCATTTCAGAATTGCAGATACGTTAATCTAATCGTCATAAACAGTTCCCACACTCCATACTAATCGCCTTTACTACTTCCTTCACCACTTCCTACGTCGCAAACATGTTTCCCTCCCTTCCCATTGCATTTAAAGATTGCAGATACATTAATCTAATCGTCATAAACAGTTCCCACACTCCGGACAGCCGGGACAGCTCGCCATGACTACTTCCTTCACCACATCCTACGTCGCGGACCTGTTTCCCTCCCTTCCCATTGCATTTAAAGATTGCAGATACCTTAATCTAATCGTCATAAACAGTTCCCACACTCCGGACAACTCGCCTTGACTACTTCCGTCACCACTTCCTACGTCGCGGACCTGTTTCCCTCCCTTCCCATAGCATTTTAGGATAGCCCATACCCTTATCTAATCGTCATAAACAGTTCCCACACTCCGGACAGCTCGCCTTGACTACTTCCTTCACCACTTCCTACGTCACGGACCTGTTTTCCTCCCTTCCCATAGCATTTTAGGATTGCAGATACCCTAATCTTATCGTCATAAACAGTCCCCACACTCCGGACTGCTCGCATTTACTACTTCCTTCATCACTTCCTACGTCACGGACCTGTTTCCCTCTATTCCCATAGCATTTTATGATTGCCTTTACTACTTCCTTCACTACTTCCTACGTCACGGACCTGTTTCCTTCCCTTCCCATAGCATTTTAGGATTGCAGATACCTTAATGTATTCGTCATAAACAGATCCTAGACTTCGCACTGCTACCCTTGACTACAATGTCTCGAGTAATCTTAAGTATAATCAATCTTTGGTATAATCTTTGCTCAATATTAACAAGTGATGTTTTTCCTTTTGTACTGTATTTGTAATTTGCTAGTATACTGTGGGTAGTTGGTTTATTATGAACACGTGCTACAACTTCAAGTCTTTTGTTTACCTTTTCCTTGTTATTTAATTCAACCAACATGGTTACTTAGCAACCCATAAGACTAATGTTAAAAAAATGTGACTTTCAGTTTCGTTTTTCTACGTAATTAGATTTTTGTTGGCAGTTCTAACTGCATGAAACTTGTTTTTAGGCCAAAAATAAACTATTTACAAGATTTGAAGAAAATCGTCGGAGCCGTTTTCGAGATCTTTCTGCAAGCAAGCAAGCAAGCAAGCAAGCAAGCAAGCAAGCAAGCATACATACAAGCAAACATTGCTCGTATTAGGGTATAGGATACTGTATTTTAAAGATACGCCGATTTTGCCAAGTTAAATTTACAATATAAACTTACTTTAATTACTTTTTCATTACGGAAGAAACAACAAGTCGTGCTGTTTCGTGAACACGTTTTTATAATTATCGTTTTTCGCTCCCTTTTAACAATTACTTTATTAACTGTAAACTATTATAGGAAAACTTATTAATATTTTGGTAAATTAATTTCATAACATTAAAATGCACTGTTGTTACTTTAGTTGGGACATGTTCATCATTATAGTACTTTTAGTTTATAGTGTTGGTAAAAGTTTAACATGAACAACAATCTAATTATCTTAAAGTATACAGTACATATATAACATAAAATGTTTAAGACAGTTTATTGCAACCAAAAATACATGTTTTTACTCCTACTATTTCTCTCTCAATCTCCCTCTCTAGTTCAGCCCTACATTTTATGAATGCAACATAAAACAATACATGACAATACACGATTGTTTAAAGTATAATTCATGTCATGAGATCCGAACATGACGAAATATTCTCTGTTCAATCCTACCAAAGAAGGTTTATTACCCACATTATATCTGAAGATTGCAGGCCATTTTATAAAAGCTAGCCTTCTATGCTATAGGCTAGCTTCTGACCTATGCTTGATGCATTGATCTACTGTTTTAGGAATAAAAATTATTAAAGGTTTTGCGTTGATATTATTAACAATAAGTTTAATAGGTAATTTTATATAATAAATTTGGTAACTATTGTAGTAAACGTATTATCATATTCTTGAACTCTATTTAGGAGCAGTAAAATATCTATATGTTATTTAAATGTTGTTAAAATAGACAGATTATTTTAGCTGACGTCAAAATCCACCTTATCAGCAGATGACCATAAATGGTGGAAAATTACTCATTGTAAAACCAATATAATATTTAATTAATTCAACCATCATGTAAGTGCAGAATTGCTTTCTTTGCTTAGTGATTAAAAAATGCAATGATTTACGACAGCTTAATAACTTATGCGAATATTTAAATCTTTTTTATACTTAGATAACATAACAAATATTAGGGTGTGGTTAATTTAAATCAATAATAATATAATAATGATTATTAGTAAGTTGATTGGTTATCAATAAAATCGTATATTTTGGTTCTGCATTACTTAATAGTTAATCAAATTAATTAGGATTAATAAACCCAAGAGTGCTTCAATCAGGGTTATTATTTAGGGTTTTTATTTTTTATACATGTTTGATGTAAAGCAATTTTGTTGTTATATCGTTTATTTTTTCGAAATATAAAACACTGTGTGCACAATAGTTCAAAACTACGGAACTTGAAAATCATAAAACTCCAAAATTATTTTTATATTTACTTGTTGTCCCAGCTTTGTCCGAAAACCCAAAATAAGATAGTAGATATATCTTCGTTTAAGATTTTGGTATGGATTAAATTTTAGTTAAAAGCCAGGGGTCGATAGAAACTGTGATAGGGCAAAATGTTTACATGGGGAACTTTCTGCGGCATGTCAACCTTGAACGCTATCAAAACAACCCATCCTTTTTCTGTTACGTAATTGGGTTTTCCAATAACACCCTTTAATATTAAAACGTTTTTTTATTTGGCACAGCTAAATATGAGAAGATTAAGGTAATATTAGTCATATATTAACGGGACGTTGTCTTAAGTAGGTAATTTTTAATAACCTACATGTTAAGTTTACTAAACAACAGATAAAATCTCATACATGCACATTGGTTATATAGGCATGACTTTATTCAATATAAATAACAAATTTTAAATATTAAAATGAGTTAAATTTTATAAAAAAATTCTGTATGTACAAATATTTAAAATTGTTGGTCTTCGATTGATTTTTAACACGTTTTCCATATATATATATATATATATATATATATATATATATATATACATATATGCTTAAAGGTATTCTTATTTTTAATTTTACTTTATTCGCCTAAACCGTTCAAAACATGTGTATACAACTTGATTGATTTTTTTTAACTGTTTACAGTTAAACCAACAGATCAGCTATGGAGAATTGACATTATCTGGTCAAAACGAAAGGCTATATCCTTATGGCTTTGGCTTACTAAATAAGTATGGTAATTTGATCACAAATCCAAATGCATATAATATTTGTGAATACTTATGAGACAAAAGACGAATTCTTATAGAGCTACATAAAAGTAAATTGACGTATTTAGTACGATTAAATATTTTATCAGTGACTTTATTTTGGTTTACTTGTACAAGATCAAATTTAATTACAATTCTTTTGATACAATTAAATAATTATTATTAATAATGCTGGTCAACAATGATTTTAATCGTGAACAGTAATAATCTATTGATTATAATCCTCATTTTTAAATCAAAAATACAAATACATTTTCTATATACTGCCACTTTATAATCATATTACTCTAGCAATCTAAATATACGAATGCTCACTATAAATGTAATAACTCACGATTTATTAGGGGGAAAATAATCAAACTTTTAATTACATGATTTATTGTAAAAGGCTAATTGAATATTAGACGCTCCATTGGCTATTTCGAGTTTATTTAAGCTCAATTTTAATTAAATTTTACTGTGTTCGCTTGTCCGAACGTAATCAGTATTGTTCATTTGCCGATGAAGACTTAATTAGTTTTTGGTTTTTATATTCTTTTAACGCAGCGATAATTAAATTTAATCTTCATTGATAGATGTTTTTGAAAGTTTTATGGTAAAAACTAATTGAGTTTTTTTGGTTTTGCATTTTAATTCCTTTACGTTAAAATTAAGAGATGAGTTTGTTCAAACAATGTTTATAGCATAGGATCTACACTAATCTATTAATGACCCTTTTAGGCAATTCGTTTATTTTTTATGAAACTTAATTTTATCAGTATCAGTTTTGTGAATTATTCTAGGCATTTCAAAAACGATAAACTTAAGCTCATCATATTCTCTTTAGTACCTTAGATATTAAGCTTGTATGTATTAGTTTTAGCCTGGAATACAGATTGTTCATCA